CACACACACACACACACACACACACACACACACACACACACACAAAACAAGATGTTTCCTTCTGTGAATGTGTCATTTAAATAACACATTATTTGTATGTGGGCAGAACTGCAAATACCTGACCAGGTCAAGGACTAATCTAGTTTGGCCCACATGATGAGCTTTCTAGTCAATGAGTAATACATTCAGAGTGTGACTATATTTATGCTACCCTGAGTTGGACTCATTTTTTAAATCTAAAATCTAACCGTAAGTTCTGAGTTTTAATTGATTTAGAGATAAAATATTTTATTGCTGAGGTTTCTTAGTTTCCTGGTACCTTCTAAAAGCTCAGAGAATTATTTTCTTAAAATACTAAACGCACGTGTTCAGCTTTAAAATGTTTGGCTGAGATGAATCTAGGTGGGTTATACTGTTTATTTTTAAATCACGCCTATTGTTGCAATGATTACTTACAGAATAACCTTAACTCTTTTTAACTCTTTACACTTTTATTTTTTATTTGGGCAATGAAAATTAATATGACTGTCCAGTTCTTGCATTAGATTTACAGTCACATTATGTAGTTTGATTAAAAAAATCACATGTGAAAGTGACTTGTGAGGTTCTCCCCTAATCAGATTGACCTATATTTTGAATTTCAGTGTCTCCAACTAAAAGTCAAAGAGCTGCATGGGGAAGCAGATAAGAGTACTTTCAGTTGTTAGGTCACAGAGAAAAATGCTGGTATTCCAGGTATATTGATTTAAGGGGGCTAACAGGCACATTTGTCTGCCTTGTTAGGATTCATCTTTTTATTCTGAAAAGAGTAGAGATATTTATGGATAGTTGTGATGATATCTTTTTATCACTTACTGTCATTTTTATTTCTATTTCTTATGTAAATTATGGTGATGTTATAATGCTAAATGTTGCATGCTATTCCAGTATTTTTCTGCTCCAAATTATTCATCATAATAATACAGGAGGACTACAGAAAGAAAACATGTTGGTTTAGTGCATTCAAGGTCAAAGTCTAGCCTTTTTGATCTGAGAGGTCAAGTTAAACTGAAGGTCAATTAAATAGAGACCAAACTGAAGCCACCATTAAACTACTCAAGTCAATAAACTGACCTTTGAAAGCCAGTGTCCATATACACAATGCTTGTTTGAAATGGCTAACTAATATTCTAATCCTGCAAGTTTTGCTGCTGTGAGTAAAATTTATTCATATATGTAGAATCGCTGAAATCCATATTTAATTATTGAGAAAAGAACATTGAATGGAACCCTTGCAATAGTATTCTTTTATAAATATAGCCAGTCAATTTCTGAGAACCTTTTAGAGGGATGAGAAAGGGTATTTACTGCCTTTAAGGTGTGTATAAGAGGATAACATGAGTCAACCCAAATCAAACAAATAAAGTTCTCCTTTACTTCAGTTCTGACTTGTCTTACAACAAAACCAAAAAAGTTTGAAGATACCAAGTGTTCTGTACCCTTTTTTATCTGATCATATTGTGTTTATTTCATGAGGTCTAATACTGTCTAATATTTTCTGTAATACTTGTGCTACTACTAAGAATAATAAATCATTTTGATTCTGAGTAGATGTATGCAGAGGCAGTCCATATCTTTTTGACCTATTGTTCTTACCTCTGAATTATTTTATACAAATTATTATTGACTCATCACTTCTCTAGTTTCTGACTGAATAAAACAATTAATGTACACTACTGTTGGATTTACTGAATATATGAGGTAAGGTATGAAAAGACTGACTATCAAACTGTTTTTATCATACAAAAGGCTGTCCTTGTGCACCAGTGGTTTCTACAGCCTTGAAGATCCCTGTGTTCTCATCCTTATACAAAATTGTGGCTTTTATTTAGGTGGCCTGCCAAAGCAATGTGCTCTGAAATGAAACTGTTTTTGCAGCACTGTTTCATTTGATCCACATGAGGCATTGCATGATATACAGGGCCGTCTTCTATTAGCTGATTTTTGTCTCACACTGTTGGTCTATGTTGGGAACCCATAATGCTACTGAGAGTCAAATAGGCTCTTGTTAATTTGCCTTGCTGACTAATACAATACTACTAAATTGACTTTTGAATAAGAAGTAAGTACTTTAAATTCTTGCTTGTAAAATATAAATACAGTGTCCTCTGTATAGATTATTTCTGGTAGGATCAATTGACAGTCTGTGCCACATGGTAATAAATTGTTTCCTTTTATGCTTATTGATGGGCATTAATAATCTGGAAGTCATGCCAAATGAGGATACAGTTATGAAATGTTTAGCAACAAGCAATAGAATATGCAATTATGAAATAATCTTTGTGTGGCGGATTGGGGGCAGGCACCTGGTTGTTATTAAATAGTTGTATGTTATCTGACTAGAAGAGTTATGCACAGAAACATTTTTGAGAGAATAGCTATTTGCTAGAAAGTTAAGGAAATGGGTCTTAATTAACTCGGGGCCACATTTAGTTCAGGATGTACTGTCCTGTCTGATCTTGATCTGAGGTTAAAAAAAAAAAAAAAGTGGAACTAATTTAATCTTCCGTTAAACCCATTCAGCTCCCATTGATGCCATTTGGGTTGCAAAGGGAAAGCTGAGGCTAGAGCACGTCCTTTGCTAAGGATAACAGACTTCTAATTCTGTTTTAGGGCACCTTTGCAGTAGATTAGCTATTACAATAAGGTTGATATTTCAGCTTTTAAAGCTATAGCCATGTGTTTGGATAGTCTTAAAAGCAGCAGTTTTGTGAAACATTCCACGTCACGTCCAATTTGCAGAGTATGGATATATCATAACTCCTCTCTAGTTTATGCTCAAGGTTAATATTAGCAGTTTTATTTCCTCAGTTCTTTCTATACCACAAAATTACTAAAGGGGCTGGGTTTGTATCTTCTCACAAACACTAAAGGAGTTGGTCATAGTA